TAGCCCTAAAAATGCTCCATTTTGGGGCTGTAAAATCGAATAGAAGCAAAAAATAAGTAAATATGAAACAAATAAGTAAAAATGTTGGCTGCGAGTCAATTCTATGTTGCACAAGTGTGCAAAATTTCAATATGATCGGTGCATAACTCGGTGTTTGACGTCATATCTGAAAAAAATCATTATCATCATTAATTATTAGTAAATAATTAATCGTCGTCTTCAAATAAACTCAAGTTGTCAATCGCATTATCTAAGTTTGTTGAGTTTAGGCGAACAAGGAGTATATTTTCTTATGTTCCGTGGCTTAAACGATTTCTGTTGTCCGACAGCACCAGTTTTAATGAAGAAAATGCCTGCTCTATTGTTACCTACAAATATTTGGAAATTTAAAATTTGGTTCGCATTAAGTAATAGTTCTTACTTTAGTTGCCGGTATGGCAAAACATATTTCTGGCTATGAGAAAACCAGTTAACTCCATTTGGCAATGGAGTGGTGCCTATGCGAACCAGTTCGTCTACTATGCAGTTGCCTGTTATATTTCTTTGAGCTGGGCCCAAGTGAGGCTAGTGTCATACAAAAATAAAAAATTAAAAAAAGAAGTCTTTTAACACTAAAAAAATACCAGAAAAGAAAGAAAGCTAGAGGTGAGAATGGATACAGGACCATAAGGACAACGACAAGGAAACGATAAAAGACCAACGACATGCGACAACAGAGCGGGAAGTTTGCATTGCATGTCATCTCGTGAAGAGATGATCTACAGGCTGAGACTGTTTTTGAGTTGCTTGAGATCGATCCGGACCTGAAGTTTGCGCGTTTCATTCTTTCCTTTTGGAAATGATGGTGCTAAAGAGGGGTTTTCTGTGGTTTCTAGGAGTACTGTAGTCTGTGCTAATAGGGACTAGTGGTTCGTTTTGTGGAAGTCTGCAATTTCCGGTGTGGTTGGGTTTTCACTTAAGTGTTTCTCCTAGTGTAATTGCCGTCATTTTCGTTGTTGTTGCCGCTCAATCTTTATTTAAGCCCTATTGCTTTTTTGCAGATGAAGAGAACAGTCACTGCCTTCAGTCCTTCACCCCAATTTACGTTGAATGTCAGCCACTGTTTATTAAGTATTGGAGGGTTGAGGGAAGGAATTTCTGCTGAAGAGAACTAGCTTGCGCCTTTACCCCAGGCCGTTGCTACTTGTTCAGTTGACTAGGGTTTGCATTTTTGTGCTCATAAGGTCACAGAGTGACGGAGAATAATTTCCTGTAAATGTAATTCCCACGTCGTCCGCGTACGCCACTAATTTGCAGACCACTCTTTCATCTTGCATAGAATTGAATTGACCCCAATGTTCCATAGAAGAGGGGAGAGGACTCCTCCTTGCGGGGTTCCTCGACAGACGGACCTTGAAAAAATTAATGAGCGCGCTTGTGCTTATTAGCAATTGATCAATTAGTCCCACCAAGTGTCCATCTACCCCCTTTTGACGTTGTTAGCCCCTTTTAAATCTAAAAAGGCATCCAGGGCGTGTTCCTTGTGGAAGAGTGATTTTCAATCTAAGAGTCAAGCGCATAAAGGGCAGTTTCTGTGTATGTCCCTTTTCTGTATGCGTGTTTTGCTTTGGATATGAAGGTACTATGAAAGCATCTTAAGTGGAGGCCTATGACACATTCAAGGGTCTAAAGCAAAAAGGCTGATAGACTGATTGGTCTGAAAAAGTGGTAGGCAGGGTCCTATTCCAGGGGCATAGGAAATTTCCGGATCCGAGCTTTGCCGCTCACACACTATGAGTGCCGACCACTGGTTTCAAATCTTTTTGGGTCGTATAAGATGGTACAATACATTACTTGAGCCACGTTTGTAGCAGTTTTCCCAGAGAGAGTGATCTTTTGAAAATACTCGACAGTCAGTTCATGCTGATTTCGTGCGCATGTTAGATTTGCGGGGGTAAATTTTTGTCGTTACCAGCCGATTTGTAAGGCTTGAAGCTGTGAATTGCCCAGGGAAGTTCCAGCTTTCTATCTTTAAAAACACAAAAGTTGGGTCATTTCCTATCGTTCAGATATATGACAGCTATAGGATATAGTCGGCCGATTCTTATGAAATTTAATAGGTTGGATCAACTGACGCTAGGAAGCGCTAGGATATTCGTATAGGTCGTATTATTTTGCTAATCATAGCACTCTTGCAAAATCCGAAACTCTAAAAAACTTGCGGTCCCTAATATATGCACATGGGTATGTGCATTAGCTTTAAGCATTCTTACGGAATGCTAAGAGATGCGCTACCATACAAATTGGTTGGATATACTTGTTCTCGATGGCAACCAACTATTTTTTAAATACTCTGGGCCTCGACTATTAAGATTATTCGACCATCAATTAATCAATTAATTATTTTATCGCTTTTTGCGAGAAGTTTAATTAATTCTTAGTAAAGACCGAGCTAGAGTGGAAGTTTCAGGTCTTAAATGAAACTTGGAATGCCTTTATTGTTCTTAAGGCTTCACCAGAGAGGTAATAAATAAAATTTTTCAATAACAGGAATTTTTACGTCCTTGTCTACTATTGTTCGAAGAGACTTATAAACTTGCCTCAAACAGGATAGATAGCAATTTGAAAAAATTCTGGGTGTTGGTAGAAGCACCAACATCTAAAAAGCTTTTGTCATCTGAACAAGAGTTATGTTAGGAGCACTATCAGAAGAACTCTGTTCTACTGACTTAAGTTCGATTTGAAATCAGACTTCCATTTAAATCGGATCCAAGCGTTTTGGGAAACTCTTTCGAGGTAGCTAAACGCCGTTTTTTGTCGATCGAGAAAAGATTATCTCGGGACTCGAAATAAAAAAAATGTTTTTGGAATTTATGGAAGAATGGGAATCCTTAGGCCATATGTCCTCTACAAGAAATTATGTTCTTGCTACTCCACACTACGTTATACCCCATCAGTGTGTCTTTCGGCCTCAAAGCACATCGACCATACTGATGTCATTTTTGATGGTGGGTCAACGATTTATTGATGGTGGGTCCTGCAGTTCAGGAGAAGCTAAATTCAACACTTCTTCGGGTTTCGCTCTGTCACCCGACATAAAAAATATGTATCGCCAAGATATGGTAAATTAAGCCGATAGGCGATACCAGTTAATAATGTGGAGGAAAAACTATCAGAGTCCTTGACACTGTGCAAGCTAAACACCGTTACATATGGTATGGCGTCTGCCCCATTCCTGGCCATAAGGTTTTTGAAGAGATTGAGTGAATCCGTGAAAAATAAATTCCTATGGAGCCTGCGTCTATATTCGTTGCGAATCTGCAGAAGGTATTACAATTTCATTCCTGACGGCAAAGTTCAAAGTAGCGCCGCTCAAGACAAAGATGCTCCCCCGTCTTGAGTTATGTGCCGCTCACTTTCTCGCAGATCTCTGTCGCAAGATAAAGCCTCTAATAAAAGTTCCGATCGAACGAAGTGTATTTTGGTCGGATTCAGAAGTAACTCTACATCGGATTCGTTCCCATCCATCGTCGTTGTCAACGTTCGTATCGAATAGAGTAGCTGAAATTCAAGAGTGGTTGAATGATAGCACATGACGGCATGTACCAACTAAACAGAACCTGACAGATAAAGTGTCCAGAGGAGGAGACGTAAAGAAGACTGTAGAATCGATCTGGTTTACAGGTCTATCATTTTTAAAGGAACCGGAAGATAAGTGGCCGACGAGCCCTCGGTTTAATCTGTCACCAGAACTTCTTCAGATGGAAGAACTGCTGCCAACTGCTGCGAGTGTTCGTTTATATTTTCTGCTTTATAAGGATATCGAAGAGATTAGTAGTTAATTCTGATATTGTTCCTTCACCTGTCAAATATAAGCCTTTAAGAAAACCGTCGAACTAGTCCAAGAGCACGAGTATCAAGAAGAAATAGAAAAGATCCGAAAAAATTTAATTGTTGGCCCTAGTCTACAAAAGCTACGCTGCTTTAAATGCAAGCCACGTCTGATGACTCAAATAATGGTAGATTTACCCTTAGAAAGAATTCGTGCTCTCCGCCTAGTCTCCATATGTGCTGTTGATTTTTGTTACCCTATTGATAAGACATTGAAAAGTCGTGGTAGGCCACCCTATAAGTCCTACATTGCTTTATTTGTTTTTTTCGTCTAAGGCAGCACAATTAGAAGTAGTTTCCGACCTTTACACTGATTCCTTTTGATTGGCTATTCAAAGGTTCGTTGGGCGACGTACTTCGTCGGAGCGAGTCGCCACTTCGCGGAGCTTCGACGGAGAATAGGGGACGAGGTCGACGCGGCCACTCAATACGCATCAAGAAACGGATGCGTATTTGCGTTCATACCGCCGCAGACTCCGCACATGGGCGGACTATAGGAGGCAGGTGTGAAGTCTGCCAGCCACCTACTATGAGCGGTAGGCAATACGAAGCTGACCGCAGAGAAGAAGGAGCTGACCGCAGACCGTTCTCGTCGAAGGCCGTCGAGCCCGTCCTGGACTCAAGACCCAAGCGACGGCGCTTACTCCCGGGACCCGCTTGACATGCGGGCTGCACATCACCCCACCAGTATCGCGGACCCCGGACCAGCAAGGTCTTACGTGCTTGAATTTTTTTTAAATTAAATTTTGTATTGAATTTACATTTTGAATTTGTTAGTTATCTCTAGTTAATTAGCTCTAATCTATTATAAAGGCTTAAGATTTAGAAAATAAAGCGAATCATAACGTTGAAGAGGCAGCATAGTTCTTTTATTTCTCAATGATTAATAAGCCGCTACTTTTAATTTTTTTTTTGTTTGAGAAATAAAATAGTCTCGATCAACAAACACCTTTTCAGAATAGAAGCTTGTGGCCTTAAAAAATGTGTTTTATAATAAAATTCTAATAAGTATCTGCCAACTATACCCGATATTTGCAAAATATATCCGATTTTATCGGCTAGAGTATATCAACTTCGGTTCCACCCGAAGTTAGTTTGTCTCTCTTGCTTAATTCTTATTTTACTTTTAGGTGCGCAATATCGACAATACCGGATATTTGAGTTTTCTCCTCAAAATCGTCGCGTTCCAAACCAAAAATTGACTATACGAAGTGCACAAATCCACATACGTATAGAAAAGCCGCAAAATTATTGGCTTGCGAAAGTAAAACCCAATTTATATACAGACAATTTACTTTCAGGAAATACAAAATGGAGAAAAAAAAAGACACGCCATAAAATAAAAATTTGGATTTTTCAATTAGCAGAAGGGATAAATATCACTGAAAAGGTATTTAATAATGATAAAATAATTTCTTTTAAATAATCGTAATAATCAAAAACCATTTTAATTAAAGGGAATTGACCATTCTATTACATTCCGAGCTTCTTTTGAAGTTAACACAAAATTGTTAGGATGGAAAAAATTTGATTTAACAAAAACAATACGGGAGTGGTATACACAAAGTAAAAATGAAAAACTACGATTGCTTATTGATTGCACGGGCTGTGGTGACCGCTACTCAATACACTCATTTCAACCCGCGGATCTTAATAACACACGTTATTCTAATAGCAACCGACCATTTCTTGTTCTCCATACGGAATCTCTAAAGAAAAGACGAATTAGAAGGCGTGCAGTGGACTGTGGAGGCGCTTCAAATGGACAATGCTGTAAGGAGTCATTTTATGTATCTTTTAAAGCCCTTGGCTGGGATGATTGGATTATTGCCCCTAGGGGATACTTCGCAAACTATTGTAGAGGTGATTGCACAGGATCGTTTAGGACACCTGATACATTTCAAACATTCCACGCACACTTTATAGAGGAGTATAGAAAAATGGGACTGCTAAATGGAATGCGACCATGTTGTGCGCCAATCAAATTCTCTAGCATGTCCCTAATTTATTATGGAGATGATGGAATTATAAAACGAGACTTGCCTAAAATGGTCGTTGATGAGTGTGGTTGTCCTTAGCGTAAGTAAAAAAATATTGTTAATTTAGATCAATAATTTGATTACATTTTATTTTGCAGCTTCGGTACTTCTTCGTATTATAACATTTTTTCCGTCCGGTAAAAACTAAGCTTTGTATAGGTTTGGCAAGGATAATTGTACATACATTTATCCCGATTTCAATTCACCATAAGTGCTAAGCTGATGACAATATTAGTATGTGTACCAAACCAAAATATGAAAGTGCCTAAATAAAAATACTCTTTTAAAACTTCTTAAGTGTGTTGTAACTTCTTTAGTTAACTGAAATTAACTGATCCTAGAAGTCTTTAATACTTAATTTTTGTCACCCGTCAATATCCTGTCAAAAATTTCATACAAAAACATACCACAGCCACAAATACATAAACTCCTGAGTTTATGCAGAAAACATCCATCTTATCATATAGCACAACTGAAATAGTTTTCAGTCAGGAACCATTAAGGAACCTCAAACCTTTGTTTAAGCATCAAGATGGCTGGCTTGGACTCGGTCCTCTAAAATAGCAATGCAAAACCTTACACATTTGTCGTTAACACGACTGGAATTCAAAAAGATTAGCATCTGGCAGTCCACAAGTATAAAACCAACACCACAACTTTCTACCTAATTGTTAAATCAATATAAATATCCAAAAATTTACCGTTGCTTACCTTTTTTTTTTAGGTTTTTTTGTTTTTTAAACCACCATTACCGCTGAATTAAAAGCTGCGCTCTTTGCACTTTGCATTATCCCACCTAAAACCTTCTTTCAGAAGCCACAATTACCCCATAAAGTTGAGAGTTTCTAAAAAAAAAAAAAAAATGTAAAAATTTTATGAACTTTATAGAAACTTTGGAAAAATCAATAAGACCGAAATAAATTACCAATCTCCAAGCATAATCGGCAAAAAAAAAACAAGAAAGGAAAGCTATACCTTTCTTGATATATATTGATATACCCTTGCGGTTAAAACCGGATATATATCGCAAACATCGGATATAGTTGGCCGATCCTTATGAGAATATGATAATTTAATCCAATTTACTATAATACAAAATCTAAAAAAAGTCCTAAACTTCTTTCTTCAAAAATACCAAAGTTAATATTTCTACCAAAAACCATTTCCGATCGCTCAGTTATATGAGAGCTATTAGATATAGTCGACTGATCGTTATGAAATTTGGTAGGTCGGATAAACTGGCAAAAAATATAATCTGTACCTAGTTCCAGCTTACTATCTTCTAAAACACGAAAGTTGGGATATTTGCGAAAAATAGCGCTTATGTAAAATTTGAACTTTCTAACTCTAAAAACATTTAAGTTATACCATTTCCGATCAATAAGTTATATGGCAGCTATAGGATATAGTCGGCCGATTCCGGTAGTTCCGACTTATATACTGCGTGCAAGGGAAAGAAGGGTGTGTGCAAAGTTTCAAGCTTTAAAACTGAGAGACTATTGATAGCTTTAAAACTGAGAGACTAGTTTGCGTAGAAACAGACGGACCGACGGACAGACGGACATGCACATATCAACTCAGGAGGTGATCCTGATCAATAATATATATACTTTATAGGGTCAGAGATGTCTACTTCACTGCGTTGCACACTTTTGGACAAAATTATAATACCCACTGCAAGGGTATAAAAAGGTATGATAATATAAGCAAAAGGTAGATTCCTTACTTTATATTGGCCCTGCTTCTTCTTATCGCACAGGGTGTCGCACAGCTCGATTTCACACAGAACGAAATTATTACTGGGGTAGGCTCTCCTATCAGCGGTGTCGCACATGGTGGCATCCACGTTTCTACACAAAGAACCCATCTTGGCGCTGCTCCTCCTGTATCAGCAGTGCATCGACTTCTGGTGTCACACAGGCCCATCTATGGGTTGGCTTCCACATATGAAGTTCCAAAGGGTGAATCCGATTTTAATACTGTTGCGTACATGACTTGCAGCCAGCTATTAGATATGGCTTATGGATATTCCATTCTTGAAAATTTGTTAAGACTCCAAAAGCGGTTACAATTTCAATACGGCCAATCAGGTCTACTTATAAGAAGCCAGCTAGATAAAGTATCAAAAATATTGCCAATCTCAGATAATTGCCTGGACAATATTTTCCCAGGTTTGCAGCTAATATTAAAAATATTAACTAACTTAAAACTTAATTTTACCTAACTTAAAACTCAAACTTAAAAATATTTCAAACTTAAAAATAACAAGAAAGGAAAGCTAACTTCGGGCGGAGCCGAAGTTTATATACCCTTGCAGCTAAAACCGGATATATATCGCAAACATCGGATATAGTTGGCCGATCCTTATGAAATTTGGTAGGATGGATCAACTAACCAAAAATAGAGTCTGTACTAAATTCCAGCTTTCTATCTTCAAAAACACGAAAGTTGGGTCATTTCCGATCGTTCAGTTATATGACAGCTATAGGATATAGTCGGCCGATCCTAATGAAATTTGGTAGGTTGGATCAACTAACCAAAAATAGAGTCTGTACTAAATTCCAGCTTTCTATCTTCAAAAACACGAAAGTTGGGTCATTTCCGATCGTTCAGTTATATGGCAGCTATAGGATATAGTCGGCCGATCCTTATGAAATTTGGCATGTCGTATTATTTTGCCAAATATAGCTCTCATGTCAAATTTGAACTCTCTAACTCTAAAAACACCAAAGTTATACCATTTCCGATCAATCAGTTATATGACAGCTATAGGATATAGTCGGCCGATCCCGGCCGTTCCGACTTATATACTGCGTGCAAAGGAAAGAAGGGTGTGTGCAAAGTTTCAAGACGATAGCTTTAAAACTGAGAGACTAGTTTGCGTAGAAACAGACAGACGGACAGACGGACATGCTCATATCAACTCAGGAGGTGATCCTGATCAAGAATATATATACTTTATAGGGTCGGAGATGTCTCCTTCACTGCGTTGCACACTTTTGGACAAAATTATAATACCCTCTGCAAGGGTATAAAAATAATATAAAAACACAGAACATTTATAACCCTGTATTGCTAAGTGAATTTATTAGTAAGATCAAATCGCGATGAATGTATCATAACCCACCTTGTTAAGTATGTTGAGTAAGCCCTATGGAAGACTTCATAATAGGTCAAATCAAAAAGCGCTCATGAAATAGGTAAAGAAGAAATTAAAAAGGTTTAAACGTGAAATGTTTTCAACGTCAGTAGAGAAATTAGAGAAGTCCCTACTGTTACTGATAAAAACCCTGCCAACGAAAATTCAGATCGTGAAAATGCATTATAGACGAAGAATCCTACGGCACTTTAATAAATGAACATTTTGCAAAAAAAAAGCGTTTCAGCAAATCCTAAATACTTTACACTCTGTTGGATGGAAAATCACAAGGAAGGTTTTCCATCTACAAAATTTCGACTCAAGACTTATTACAGAAGAAATGCATCCAGCTAAAAAATTGTCCAATAAACGGTTAGGACAATATTAGGCCGAGAATACTAATTGGAATAGACAATGATGATTAGAGGTCGATACTATTAATTAAAAAATTGTGCTAGAGGGTACAAAAAGATTAGAAAAAAATACCAAAAAAAATACCACAAAAATACCAAAAACAAGAAAGGAAAGCTAACTTCGGGCGGAGCCGAAGTTTATATACCCTTGCAGTTAAAACCGGATATATATCGCAAACATCGGATATAGTTGGCCGATCCTTATGGGAATAGGAAAATATAATCCAATTTATTACAATACAAAATCTAAAAAAAGTCCCAAACTTCTATCTTCAAAAATACGAAAGTTGATATATCTACCAAGTACTATTTCCGATCGTTCAGTTATATGGCAGCTATAGGATATAGTCGGCCGATCCTAATGAAATTTGGTAGGTCGGATCAACTGACCAAATATATAATCTGTACCAAGATCCAGCTTTCTATCTTCAAAAACACGAGTTGGGTCAAAGATGGGTCATTTCCGATCGTTCAGTTATATGGCAGCTATAGGATATAGTCGGCCGATCCTTACGAAATTTGGCATGTCGTATTATTTTGCCAAAAATAGCGCTCGTGTAAAATTTGAACTCTCTAACTCTAAAAACACCAAAGTTATACCATTTCCGATCAATCAGTTATATGGCAGCTATAGGATATAGTCGGCCGATCCGGACCGTTCCGACTTATATACTGCGTGCAAAGAAAAGAAGGGTGTGTGCAAAGTTTCAAGACGATAGCTTTAAAACTGAGAGACTAGTTTGCGTAGAAACAGACAGACGGACAGACAGACAGACAGACGGACAGACGGACATGCTCATATCAACTCAGGAGGTGATCCTGATCAAGAATATATATACTTTATAGGGTCGGAGATGTCTCCTTCACTGCGTTGCACACTTTTGACCAAAATTATAATACCCTCTGCAAGGGTATAATGACTACGAGACGGCTCTATTATGGCGTAACTATAAACCTTCCAAAAAGTTATTACATGGCCCTAAGCTGACTCATATCCACAGAAAAGTAAATTCAAGCGTCCAATAAAGCCTTTTAGATAGAGGATATGCAATCAAGTTATCGGAAGAGCAAAGCAAGAAAGGCTCACCCCGAACTTGGTATCTCCCTCATTTTTGATTTAACAACATAAAAAAAATCCAAAAAAAAGCGGCTGGTTTTTGACACCGCAGCAAAGGTTAATGGAGTTTCGCTTAATAGTTTCTTATTCAAAGGACCAGACAAAAATCCGCCACTTCTAAAATTATTATTTCAGTTTCGTTTAGGTTAAGTAGCAGTGTGTACCGGTATAAAGGAAATGTTCTTTTACGTTAAAGTAAATACTACATGGATCAATAAGTGCCGAGACTAACCCTGAGATGACGCTCGTAATAAGCCAGCCAGGTCTTTCTAGAGTACTAACCTTTAAAATTTAAAATTTTAAAATTTTAATTTTAAATTTTAAGTGACTAAAATCGTTTTGTAGGTTTTTTTGTAAATGGAAAAAACCGAGTTCGGTGTTCTGATAAATCATTGTTTTTTTCATCGGTAAAAACACCGTGCAAGCAAAATAATGGGTTCAAAAATGATACCCGGACTCTTGTCCATCAAAAGCAACGATTTGTCGGTGGTCTTCCGAGCTTAGACGTGGGCGCACCGACACAAACGACGCGAAACGCTCGGGTAGACCTATGGAAGCTGTTACACCGGAAATGTGAGTGAAGTGACAAAAATTATAATGAAAGATCGTAAAGTAAAGCTCCGTGAGA